GGCGATGAGGAATTAGCTATCTTTTCTTAATGTGCCCTTGCAAGATGGTGGTTTCATCAAGAACACTTATCTTGTAACATGAAGATTGGTATCAAGATTGCCACCTTAATATTGGGATATGTGCGAATATTGAAATACACTTACCATCCATGATCCATCTATGTATGTCATTTAATTATTACCTGAAAGAAGTTCACCATTTAATTTTTTGAAAGAAAAATATTATTACTTCTTAAGTCGATCTAAGTTTCAAACACGTTAAATTCGATATATTCAATTGTATGAAGGCTTCAAATGCTAAAAAATAAATAATTTTCTAAAAAATAAAGATAATTTGCCCAAGCATGAAGCATTCTATTGACTTACTTTGTATTGAGCGAAGCATTTTATTTAAGTGACAATTGAAGAACAAGATATAAAATATTAAAAAAAATAGATGTTATTTTTGTTGAATGCCAAGATAATTTTGAGTCTAAGAATATGCAAAGCATGCACAATTACTAAGAGTTCAAAAAGAGAACAAAAAATGATGAAAGTATAAATAGGTTTTTATATTATGAGACATATAAGAAAATGATTGTAGCATATCAAGCTAAAAAAAGAATAAATAGAGTATGCTACGTCAATTTTATCCTCAACACCCGCACACTCCTATTTCGTTGCTAAGGATTCCCATGTATTTTATCCCGTTGTTCACATGCATGTTAGTCTCATCAATAGTTCCCATTTTTTTGTAGGTTCACTTAATGTCACTCTATAATTACTTGTGTGCACTTGATAAGGCCCACCTCTACATCGCACAAGCCCTTTTGTTGTGCACCTCCTTGTGATGTTGAACGACTAATGACTATTCATTTAGTAGAGCTGTCACCTTCAACCTCCAACTTACAAGACCTCTCACTTCTCCTCTCCATGATAGTACTACATGAAATGGTTCAAGTCCTAACATCTTTGATTTCTCTATGGCATCATGATCTCTATGTTTTCTCTTCTTGATTAAAAATATTTTTTCTTTGTTGTTACGAAAATCATGTTTTAGATATCTCAGATCTATTGTTCAAAGTGATGATGAAATAGATGGGAATATTATTAGTAGAATTCAAGTTGAATGGTTGAAAGTGGGAGAATGCATCAGGCCTGTTGTGTGATAGAAAAGTACTCCTTAACCTTAAGGGAAAATTTTATGAGATGGTGGTGAGACTTGATGTTTTATGACACAGAATGTTGGGCATTAAAAGAGAAGCATAAATTTAAGTGTTGCAGAGATGAGGATGCTCAGGTGGATGAGTGGCTTTACTCTTAGAGGTAAAATGCGAAATGAGTACATACGTGAAAAGGTTGAAGCAGCTCTAAGGGCAGATAAGTTTAGAGAGAGTTGCCTTAGATGGTTTGATCATATAAAACGTCGGCCTTCTGATGACCCTCTTAAGAGAGGAGATGTATTATATTTGGCCTATGTTATGAAATGTAGAGATAGATCTATAAAGACTTGGTTATAAAGTATTATAAATGATCTTTTTTTATTAGATTTAAATGAGAATTTGACCTTTAACAAAACAAAATGGAAAAAATTGATTCATGTAACCGACCCCACTTAGTGGGATAAAAGCTTGATGATGTTGTTGTTACGACAATCAAGTTTAATGATTCTAATTACATTCCTTGATTTGAGGACTTCTTACTTTCTTGTTTGTTTTCATGGCAAACCCATTCATATGAATGCTTTTGTAGATATATCCGAAACCCCCCCATGCATAGAATCATAGAGAAGCAAGTCTCGGACTCTTAGGTACCATAGCGATGTAGAATTTCTCATTGCACATTGTAATTGCAGTTTCTACTAATATCAGATTATCTTTCCCCACACACATTTGAATCCAATCATCTTCTAATTAAACTTCTATATTTTCTCTGGTTTCTATTTTTATGTTTCTGTTATAATATCATATTCTAATACCAACTGTATTTTTTCTTTAATGTGAGATTTCAGGTACTTCAGTTGACTTGACTCAATTTGATCCAATTCAATTATTATTATTATTTTGATCAATCAGATCCCAATCTAGTTAACCTAATCCAAACATAGCTATTGAAAAGCCTTTTTACAGGGCTCTTATATTGTTTAGTCTTTTGGAGATAGCCCGAGGTAGAGCGGTTACGGTTGAAAAATGTCCTCTCCCTCTCCCACCTATTTTGCTTTAGAAACAGTTATTCATATCTGCTTCATTCTCCTAAATTGTCTACACTGAGGAGAAACACTTGTAAATCATGGATCTCTTTTCTTTTTCCATAATGCAGCCTCTTGTGGACTAAAGCAGTGGCCTCAGTTTCTCTGGCATTTGTATTTTTCTTACTCCTTTCTAAAGCAGCTTTTTAATACAAAATTTTATTTTTCAAAACCTTTTTTACTAAAAAAATTGCTTTATAAAGCAATACGAAAGCTATCCCAAACAAAGTCTGAATCCGAAAACATTTTGATTTTGTCATAGTGAAAGGTCCATACTTCTCTTCAAAGTAAGCTTACTACCACCAAAACTTGTAAATTCTGTTCTGAATCTGTAAAGACTGCTGCTTTGTTATCCATTTTCAGTCAAGGATTTGTGCTTCATGGGAAGTCTTGCAAGATAACTGATGAACTGATACATATCCCACTTTTGTAGGATGTTCGATTTCTTACTTTTCTTCCTTTTAAATTTGTTATGTACTGTGTCTCCATGCTAATAGATGTACATTTTTAAGATGTTTAGAAGGGTAAATTATTTGCTTATGGGTGACTTTGATATCCAGTTTGTTAGTTCCAACATCAGACTCTATTGCCACTCCCACTTTTTGAATGGCTGTATGTAACTTTAGGCAAGGAATATCTGTTCATGAGTGTCTTGATGAATTAGATTCTAAACTTGGGAGCTAAGTTATTGCATCCCAATGCAAATCCTAATGCCATCCTTAGTCCTAACCTCCCATGTTATTGAAATTAAGGCTTCATTATGGATGACTTTCTTACTGCTTCTTATAGAAAATTTTAGTTAAAAAATTTTAAATTTTTTACTAAAAAGCTGCTTTAAAAAACAGTAAGAAAGTTGTCCCAAATGAAGCCTAAGAAGAAACTTGGAAAATTGTAAAAAATAGGAGAAATTATTCTGTGCGGAGGCCGGACGCAGCTCTAAATCCGGAGGCGAATTAGGTGCAACCACGTCAGCGGTACCGAGCGGTACTGAATAGTACCAAGCCGTGGTACCGAGCGAAGGAGTGATGTGGCACATTTTGGTTGGTCTCTGGACGAAGTTTGGCGTCCGCACATAATAATTAGTAAAGGTTGCTGATCCTAAACAACTCGATTTAATGATTATTCTATGATATAATGTATGTTCTGAAATCATGCAAAACTTAGATCACCTATTGACATGGTTCCAAGCAAAGAATAATAAATCAATATAAGGATCTATACAATGGGTTTAGGAAATGCTTCTCATATGGATGAATTTTCTTGTACTACTTTTGATAACTTTGTAAAGGTAGATTGCAACAATAAAAAATTCTTTCAATTATTTCAAGAGTTCCAAAGCAGCTACTATACAGTCTGAGATTAATAAAGTTTAGATGTAAGATCTTTTATAGTTCTTCATGAAGGTCATATTTTTGCAAAAATATTAATCACTTCATTAGAGATGTTATGATCTTTGTTGGGATTCGAGAACTCCATATTTTATTATGCAAAACTTTTGGCATGGAACATGAATTTTGTGATAATCTTGAAGGATTGAATTGGAGCACAATTTGATGAAAGCTTCATTTGGAACAGCTTTTTCATCATTGCTTTTTAAAATAATTGTTTACAACAACAACAACATCACGACTTTATCCCACTACGTGAGGTCAGCACAATTTGACAAAAGTAAAATTCTCGTTTAAATTTAATAAAAAAAGATTATTATTATTGTTTAGTAAAAAAAAATTATTCAAAAACTTTTATTATTAAAAAGTTATATTTGAAAGCATTAAGAAATCTATTCCAAATAAAGCCTAAGTTTGAGTTGATCAACTGTTGATGTGAGCTCCAAATGGCATTATAACCCCAAATCTATGCAACAATGTCAACAACCTATGTTTTTGTTAACACGACCTCGTTAATACACAACACACTCCACGCAAGATCCAAACTTCTCTGATCTGTTGCTACGAGACTCTTGTGGTGGAGAAATTATTCTGTGTGGAGTTCGAAGAACCGTCTGGAGTGTGAGTGTATGGACAGTGTACAAATTTATACACAATGTGTACACTTATATGTCCGGGCGGTTCTTCCCGTCCAAATTCCGCACGAAATAATTTCTCCTTGTTGTGAGAGTCGAATCATATAAAAATTGTGTGATATTGTTGTTCATTTCTTTTAAATTCATTCAAGAGATGCAACTTTCTCACCATTGTTCTTGCAATTCCATCTATTGAACTTTGATGATGGGTTAATGTGCTGTCTGTTATGGCTAATGGTAAGAGATTGGTCAAACAAGGACTGGAATTATTTTTTGAAATTCAAAAAGTAAAGCTTAAATTTGGTTCACTAACAAGATTTTCTCAATGATTTTGGAGTTGAGAGAATTTTTCCAACTTTAAAAAGTAAAACTAAAATTTGGTTCCTCTTGATTCCTATTCAATGCTTAAAACATATTAAACGATATTCAATCATCTTCCAAATTGCCCTCACTCTGTAATTTTAAAATATTTAACGTTTATTTCGAGCTTACTATAATTTATGAGTAAATTTCATTGATATGATATATTTTCTAACTACTAATTATCAAATGAGCCCTACAGAGGGGTATATTGTTCAAACCAATAGTTTAGAGTATAAAAAAAGTATAGTGCTGCTATATTCTTCATATATA